GCATTTGACCGGCGTTCCTTTTCTTTCTCTGCAGCAATATCACCATCACCAGTTAACCGGCATTCCTTTTCTTTCTCTGCAGCAGCAGCAGCAGCAGCAGCAGCAGCAACAGCAGCAGCAGGAGGAGGAGGAGATGTTAACCGGTGTTTATCAGTGGTTAAGTATGGTTATGGTGTTGCAAAATTGGTATGCAAGGCCTTAGATGGAGGCACAATGCCTCCGGACGTAATGATGGAGACAGGGGATCAGCAATTATTGGACATTCCAGGTGGACAACCATTGGACCTGGCACGTGGAGAAGCAGAAGGGGTAGGAAGTGAGATGATTGGGAACGCAAGTTTCAAGAAAAAAAGTGGAGCAAGTGCCTCCTCCGCCTCCTCTTCGTCGTCCTCCTCTTTCAATGTTGATGATGATCATCCGAAGGATAAGATTGCGACGAAGTTGTTGAATTTCAAGGAGGAACGGGATCCCTACACGGCTATGTCGCCTCCGCTTTATCAAACTGCGACCTTCGAGCTGCCTGACGCAATTGCCGGCGGGCTGTACGATTACACTCGATCTGGCAATCCGACCCGCACGTTGCTCGAGAGCCTGATAGCTGACTTAGAAGGTGGTGATCAGGGGTTTGCATTCTCCACAGGGATGTTGGCCCTCTCTACTGTGACGAGATTGGTAGGATCGGGTGAAGAAATTTTGGCGGGAGATGATTTATATGGTGGGACCGATAGATTGCTCTCCCGTGTGGTCCCGCGCTCAGCAGCAGGCGTGAAGGTTAAGCGTGTAGACACGTGTTGCCTTGATGAGGTCCGCTCTGCCATCTGCTCCTCTACGAAATTGGTCATCATGGAGAGTCCGACCAATCCCCGCCTTCAGGTCAGCGATGTGCGGGCAATTGCTGAGCTGGCACACGAATTCGGCGCGCTTCTGGTTGTGGATAACAGTATCATGTCCCCGGTGTTGTCCCGACCGTTGGATTTGGGAGCCGACATCGTGATGCATTCTGCGACTAAGTTCATATCGGGACACAGCGACGTGATGGCGGGGCTGCTAGCGGTCAAGGGATCGAAACTCGCCAAGGAAATAGGGTTTCTCCAGAACGCAGAGGGGACAGGCCTTAGCCCTTTCGACTGTTGGCTCTGCCTTCGAGGGGTCAAAACCATGGCCCTTCGAGTCCAGAAGCAGCAGGAGAATGCTCAGAAGATTGCGGAGTTCCTCGATTGCCATCCCTTAGTGAAAAAGGTTAATTACGTCGGATTGAAACACCACCCAGGGCATGACCTCCATTTCTCCCAATGCTCTGGAGCGGGCTCTGTCCTCAGCTTTAACACAGGTTCGCTAGAGGTGTCCAAGCATGTAGTCGAGAACACTAGGTTGTTCGCCATAACAGTGAGCTTCGGCAGCGTGCGTTCACTGATCAGCCTGCCGTGCTTCATGTCTCACGCTAGCATTCCGCTGCCTGTGAGAGAAGCAAGAGGACTCACCGATGACCTTGTTAGGGTATCGGTCGGAATAGAAGATGTGGATGACCTGATTGCAGACCTTGATCAGGCTTTTCGAGGAGCATCGGAGAAGATCAATCAGAGTTGAGAGAGAGAGAGAGAGAGAGAGAGAGAGAGAGAGAGAGAGAGAGAGAGAGAGAGAGAGANAGAGAGAGAGAGAGAGAGAGAGAGAGAGAGAGAGAGAGAGAGAGAGAGAGAGAGAGGTTGTCATGGTATCGGTCGGAATAGAAGATGTGGATGACCTGATTGCAGACCTTGACCAGGCTTTTTGAGGAGCATCGGAGAAGATCAATCAGAATTGAGAGAGAGAGAGAGAGAGAGAGAGAGAGAGAGAGATGACCTTGTTAGGCTATCTGTTGGAAGAGAATATGTGGATCACCTGATTGCAGACCTTGCTCAGGCTTTTCGAGGAGCATTGGAGGGAGGGAGGGAGAGAGAGAGAGAGAGAGAGAGAGAGAGAGAGAGAGAGAGAGAGAGAGGGGGGGGGGGCTGCTATTACTGATGATCTTGCGAGGATATCTGTCAGGATATAAGATGTTTTTTTCTTGCAGTAGATCTTGATCAGGATGTTCGAGGATCTTTTTTAAACAAAAGGAAGGATTTTCAAGGAGCATTGGAGATATGATAAATGAGAAATCTTGTTTTGGTTTTCGAACATGAATATGCAGAATTGACAGCTCTGTAGATGACAAGACGATCCATCGCCAGAGTTGTGGCATCCTCTTCTTTTGTGTCGTAACGCTTTGTTAAGCTCTGCCTCTTCTTTTGCAGTAATGGTGTTCTTGATTGATTGATTAATTAATTGATTATTAATTGATTAATTGATTGATTGATTGATTAATTGATTGAGATTGATTGATTAATTGATTGGATTAATTGATTGAGATTGATTGATTGATTGATTGATTGAGATTGATTGATTGATTGATTGATTGATTGATTGATTGATTGATTAATTGATTGGTGTGCATGGGGTCTTCGAGCACAGTGCGCATGGGCGGCATGGTGGTTTGATAGGAACATTGCCTGGATTCTAACTGCGGCTCTTGTTTCTTTGTTATACTATTATTATTATTATTATTATTACTACTATTATCGTTATTATTATTATTGTGATGATTATATTGTGATTATTATAATATTCCTTTCCCTTCTCTGTCCCCCCTGATAAAGATTCTGCTTCATCTTCTTCTTGTTCGTGTTCTGGTTGTGGATCTCCTTCTTTTTCTTGTTCTTCTTCCTCTATCTATGTTTGCGCTAGAGAGCACGAACCTGTTTTGGAAAATGGTCAGGTTCATGTTTTCGACACTCTTCTGAGAGCTTCAAAAAAAAAAAAAAACTAAGCGAAAAAAAAGTGTGGCAGTGTATATTTCCATGTTCTAGAGGTAGATTCATTCGATTTTGCTCATCCTATCGATGGAAGCACCCTCTCTCTCTCCTTCTCTCAGTGTATACTTCCATGTTCTAGCGGTTGATTCGTTCAATTTTGCTCATCCTAGCCAAAGATGCATTCGATTTTGCTCATCCTATAGATGGAAGTAGTGTAAGGCCAGCCGCGGGGTTGGAGACTTACCTGTTGCCCGTTTTCAAGTCCCACTAGCAGCGTCGAGTTTCCTCAACGCCTGATTCTGGAGGTGTTTGTGGAGATGTGCAGAAGTCGCGTTGAGTGTCGTCAACCGCACATGGCCACAAAGGAGTCCAGATTCAGGTGTTGAGGAAACTCAACGCTGCTGGTGGGACCTGGCCCCCGTTGTGTTGCTCAACCAATGGATGAGAAACTCTCTCTCTCTCTCTCTCTCTCTCTCTCCGTGCATGGTAACACATTGCAGATCCGAGCGACGCCAGATGCGATGGATATTGTGCACTTTTTTCTTTTTCTTTTTTAAATGCCCATGGATATCGTGCATGCACCCATTGAAAGGACGAACAAGCCGTGGGGAGGAGCTGAAACGACGAGGAGGAAGATGGGAGGAATAGGATGGGCGATGCAGGAAGAGAAGAAGACTAACCAAGAAAAAAGACACCCGCCAATAGAACAGAGTTTGTTTCTACGATAAAAAGAAACAAAAAAAACGAAAAAGAAAAAAGGCGCCAAACAGAAAAAGAAGATGCCGAAAAGAGGAGAGGAGCACAGAGGTTGCTCAGCCCTGGTGCCTATCACTGCTGTTCGGTCCAAGTTGCCTGCCCGTTGGTACGGTAATGGTCCTGAGTGCTGGCCACGCTGAGGTAGGATAGTGGGATAGGGGGTGCGCTAGGAGTATTGACGTGAGGATGGGATGGAAGGTGGTCTCATATTCCAGGACACCCACGGCCCACTACTCCAGGTGATTGACTGTGCACTCACTGACTGGCCTCTACAACACCATGGACTTCATGAATTAAAAAAAAAAAAAAAAAAGGAGAGGAGCAGAGAGGGAGAGCGTGGAGAAACGGACGAGGATGAGGGGCAATGGTGCACTACGCATACTCACTCACCTTCTTGCCGCTCAGCTACAGGCAGGCCTCGCGCACCCTTCTCCCTGTGGCATGGAGATCGCACGTCGAACGGGCAACCACTCTGCTATTGCAGCACCACCCGTGCATTGAAGAAGGGCCCAACCCAATACCATGTGCAACATGCATTCTTTTTTCGCTCTCCTTTGTCTCTGTTTCATTCGTCTGGTCCCATCACCACGTGGATTCGAACTCGGGTCAATGTTTCAACAGTTCTTGGGTGTTTGCCTGGTTGGTGCAGCAACTCGTGGATTGAAGCAGCCCAATCCTATACCATGTGCAACCTGCATTCTTTACTGGGAAAATTGCATCTGTACCCCACTTAAACCACCAGTATTTGGCCCAGCTATTGATGCCGAGCCTGAATATGCCCTGAGCGATGTTTCGCACGGACCTGCCAGCGAAACAAAAAAAAAATGTTTTGGCTGGCAGCGTCAGCCTTTCAGGTCCGGTACCCCGGGCCTCGGAAACTTGCGGGGCGTTAACAACAACGCCCCGCGGCTGACATATGGGCCAGGTACTGGTGGTTTAAAGATGGGAATACCTGTGATACCCAGTTGAGCGCCCAACTTGCATCTGTACCCAGACCCTGTCCAACTTACATGCGTACCCCACTTGATACCCTACTTTTCCTGTGTGCCAACATATATGCGTACCCAGTCCCACAGGCTGGTTGGAGAGCACAAAAGTATGCTTATGCCCGTGAACCTGGACTGAGCAAGGATGACATGCACAGATAGACAAACCTTTTGAATTCCGTCTCTCAACTTTCGGAAAATGCCTCGTTTCAAAATGCTGTGTTCCAAGCCCCCTTACCAGATTGTCAGTTTGAAAACACGGGTTCAGCTATACCATAAACAAAAAAAAATTGCCACTTTCACATTCCGACACGAGGCCAAAGCCTAAACGCTTCACCGCCTTTGAAAATAAAATTGGGCTTCTGTGCGGACAAGCATCACCAATAGAAAAAAATACAGTTCTGCAAGAACAACAAAGATTGAGATTCTGCACTAACGATCCGCTCTCGCTCCCGGATGGATGCGCTTCCGCGGCACAGTGTATTTGAACCCCTACCTTAGCGACATTGGCGGGGGCGGGACGCTCTGGCTACGACCCCGCGGCACCGAGGGTTGGGTCGTCATTGCCCCCATGACCACGCTAGCAAGGGGAGAAGGGGTTGATTGTCTTTGCCCACTGGCCGCAAGGCGGCCTTTTGTGAGCACCATCAGCCTGCCTACCGGTAGTCCCCCTTGAGATGAGGGAAGGAGGGTCCCTAGGCCTTGTAACTGACCAAATGTGCAAGATGAGAATGAATCTTCAGCTAGGACATGGAAAGGTACACGGCTATATTTTTTGCCTTTTGTGCAGGTGGTGAGTAGTGGGGCAAGGCCCATTCCCGCGTGGACGCCGAGGGCGCCTGCATCTCCTCCTCCTCGGCTGTCACACAGCCCGTAGACGCCGGCGTTGTCAACAGCACGGGCCGTTTGGTTGCCTGGTTCGGAGGCTGTGGCTGTGTTTGTTGTTCCTGCTACATCCTTGTTTTCCTTCGATTGACAACTGTCCTGTCATCCTGCGGGTAAGGCGTCCATCTTCTCCTCCACCAGCTCTCCTCTGCATGTTTTCGTTTCCTACTTTTCGTTTCTTTTCTATGTTTTTCTTTGCTGTATTTTTTCCGCCTAACAAGATCTTTTCATTAACCTCCACATTATTTCCTTCATCTTCCTCCTCCTCCTGCCTGCCCGCTTTTCTCGTCCTTCCTTGTCTTCCTTTGGCAACTGACCTGTCGTACTGCGGGTAAGGCGCCCATCTTCGCCTCCACCAGCTCCTCCTCCGCATGTCTCCGTTGTCCTGCTCTTCTCTGCTTTTCTCCTCTTTTTTTGCTGTAT